TCAGTCTTTTTCACTCGTGGTAAAATTTAAGCAGTTAAGGCAAAATTGTGCTAATACTCGGACTATTAGCACAATTTCGCCTTAACTGCTTAAATGTTACCACGAGTGAAAAGATGATAAATACTTCAGAAAACAGCGAATACCTGAAAAACAATTTACCAGAAGCGGAGCTTTGAAGACATCTGTGGTAAAAATGCCATAAAAAGTAAAACTTTTCGCCAAGACTTATTGCAAGAATTAGTTTAAAAGGAGTTTTCTGCAGCCAAGGTAACAATTATTGTAAAAAATGCAAGTAAATGCTCATTTTTGGTCAAAACGATATGAGATTCAGCATTATCTTAGTATGAAAGAACAAGAATTTTGTTAAATTTGCATGGTACAGGGTACATGAAAATTTTTATGTACTTTTAAGCATTATGCTCGTAAAAGTACATGAAAATTTTACATGTACTATTACGCAGTGTGCTCGTAAAGGTACATGGAAAGTTTCATGTACTTTTATGCAGTATGCTCGTAGAGGTACATGGAAATTTCCATGTACTTTTACGCATTATACTCGCAAAGGTTCATAGAAATTTCCATGTACTTTTATACATTTTGCTCGTAAAGGTACATGGAAATTTCCATGTACTTTTATGCATTATGCTCGTAAAGGTTCATGAAAATTTCCATGTACTTTTGTACATTTTGCTCGTAAAGGTACATGGAAATTTCCATGTATTTTTATGCATTATGCTCGTAAACGTACATGGAAATTTCCATGTACATTTACGCATTATGCCCGTAAAGGTTTATGGAAATTTCCATGTACTTTTATACATTTTGCTTGTAAAGGTACATGGAATTTCCATGTACTTTTATGCAGTTTGCTCAGAAAGGTACATGGAAATTTCCATGTACTTTTATGCATTATGCTTGTAAATGGTCATGGAAATTTCCATGTACTTTTATGCATTTTGCTCGTAAAGGTACATGGAAATTTTCACATACTTATACGCATTTTGCTCGTAAAGGTATGTGGAAATTTCTAAGTACTTTTACGCATTATGCTCATAAAGGTACATGGAAATTTTCGGGTGCTTTTATGTATTTTGCTCGTAAACGTAAATGGAAATTTTCAGGTACTTTTACGCAGTATGCCCGTAAAAGTACATGGTATATCTTGATGTACTTTTACACAGCACGATTGTAAAGTTCCGTTGAAATTTCCATGTACTTTTAGGCATTAGGCCAGTGAAGGTACATGAAATTACCACGTACTTTTTGGCAGCGCAAGGTTCATTGATCTACAAGGGAGGTAGCGGAGA